AACTAGTGGAGAGGATGGAGATGCTGGGTACCTCCAGCCCCCACTCCTGGTTAGAGCTTGACAGAAGCCATTTTGGGGAGGACCCTTTCCTACAGTGACAGCTCTAACCTCCCATGGTACCATCTCTGTTCTTATCCACTCAAGCCTAGGTGTGTTTCTGAGAACATTTGTTAACCTCCATCTATCCCCCAACCCTGCTCATCTCTTGAACAACACATCTTTCAGACAACTCTTTCCCATGGCTCCCTTCAGAATTACGTTTATTCCCACTTGAGACTGGCTGCAAAGTCCACATATGGGCTTTCATCTGGGAAAACTGCAGACACTGGTACTGATTTCCTGGCTCAGCCTCTTAGCTAGCTAATGCAATCCTATTGATTTCCAGTCTTCTCACCTAAGAATCTGAGCATCTGAGTTAAACGGTCTCAGCGATACTTTTGCTATTGAGTCCTAAGCACCACATGGGCCCTGGGAAGTGCTGGACACATGTTGACAATATACGCCTTTTTGTTGTGCCAGCAGTGTACAGTGTGACATCCATCACCATCTTATTCCTGCAACAGTCCTGAGACAGGACAGCACATGCTACTAGACCAGTGAATAAATGCTGTGGGATATCCTATATGTTGTGAATATATGTTGCTATGATTGATTGATAAATAAAACACTGATTAGCAAGCAGCCAGGCAGGAAGTATAGGATAGGTGGGACAAACAGAGAAGAGAGGCTGGGAGGGGGAAGCGGGGAGAGATGCCAGCCTGCCGTCCAGGGAGCAACGTGAAAAGGCAACAGGTAAAGCCACGGAACATGTGGCGACATATGGATTGACAGATATGGGCTGAGTTAAGTGTAAGAGCTAGTCAATGGTAGGCCTGAGCTAATGGCCCAGCAGTTTAATTAATATAAGTCTCTGAGTGATTATTTTATAAGTGGTTGCAGGGTCCATGATGCTGGGCAGGACAGGAGAAAACTCCAGCTACAAATAAACATATGGAGAGGGGTTCAGGGATATTTGGGGTCCCACTATGTGATGCTTAATATTGACTGACAATTTGTCATGATCCAGAATCACCTAGCAGCAATCCTCCAGGCACACCTGTGAGGGATTAGGTAGACTATGTTAGCCTCCAGGCATACCTGTGAGAGTTTAGATTAAGTTAGTTCAAAGCCTCACCCCAAAGGAGAGTTGCACCATTACCTGGGTTCGGGGCCTGGGCTGTGTAAAGAGGAGGCTACCTGAACAGTCAGTTCAGTTTCCTGATTATGGATGTGACGTGAGCTGCTGCTTCAAGCTCCTGATGCCATAAAGGACTGCACCCTTGATCTGTGAGGCAAATACATCTGTCCTTCTGTAGATTGCTTTTGTCAGGGAATTTTATCACAGTAACAGAAAAAAGGAACTGAGATACATCCCAAGTGAGGTACAGAACTCTGCTTGAAACCCTGGAGTCCTGAACCTTATTCCCATATAATCCTTGCTGCTCATGTCTTTCCTCCTACCCACCCAGTGAAACCACGTGGGCAGGGGGCAGCACATTGTGACCCAATTTGGTTCAATGCTTGCTTTTGTGCAATGTGAGTGTTAAAAATAAAATTTATGTAATTGGAAAAAGGGGTCCAAAGAATAATATTTCATGACACGTTGTTATGGTTACCTCCAGCTGTCAACTTGACACAAACCTAGAGACACTTAGGAAGAGGGAAACTCAACTGAAGAATTACCTTGATCAGATAGGCCTATGGCCATGTTTGTGGAGGCATCAACGCCCCGCCCCCCTCACCTTGGTTTTTTTGAGACATGGTTTCTCTGTGTAGCCCTGGCTATCCTAGAATGCTCTCTGTAGACCAGTCTGGCTTTGAACTCACAGAGATCCACCTGCCTCTGCCCCGCTAGTGCTGGGATTAAAAGCGCGCACCACCACCTAGCACAGGCATTTTCTTGATTAACAATTAATGTAGGGGGGCCCAGCTCACTGCAAGAGGTGCCATCTCTAGGCTAGTGGGCCTGGGCTGTATAAGATAGCTAGCTGAGCAAGCCAGGGGAGCAAGCCCATGAGCAACATTCCTCCATGGTTTCTGCCTCAGGCTCCTGCCTTGAATTCCCTCAATGATGGACTATAAAGTGTAAGTTGAAATAAACCCTCCCCAAGTTGCTTTGGTGTCTGGTGTTTCAGTAACATGATCATTCTATGAAGCTTAGGTTTTTAGACACAGTCTGGAACTCATAGCAGTTTCTATCAAACAATGGCAGAATTTCACAGCTGCAGAAGGTACATGAATCTAAAATATCTGCTGTATGATCCTTTATGGGAAAAGCTTGCTGGTCTCTGGGACAAGAAATTGCCTCTTTGAATCCTCTTACGTGTGTTGGATGCAGCCCACTCTTCTGGCAAGAAAACATGGGGAGTTGAACCCCATCACTGGCATTAATAGGTAGTAACAACTCCCACACACTGAACTCCTCTGACACATCAGGCCCTTTGAAGCTGACACTCTTTAGGTATTTATAACATATTTCTTTTTCGTTCACTGTATAGATCAAGGTTCTTACAAGAGAAGTAACCTGTCTGAGGTCATATATTAAGGGGTGCAGTTTAGAACTGAATCCAATTTTTCTGCTTCCATGGACACTTTGCAATTAAACCTGACTCTTCTGAACAGAACCAAAGCTCACACCCTCCAGCCAACAGCTGATTTTCATTACCCAGATCCCCACAGAGGATCTTAACTCCCATTCCACTCTGCCTCAGCGATGCACACCACATCAGGGCTAACCAGTCAACCTGTGTCTAAGTGACCACTTCAAGCACGAACTGGAGACCTGACCAGGATGGCAACATTCAGTTCAATCTAGGATGCTGGAACCTGTGTGAGTTGATCTGCTATCTCTTGGCCACTGAATAATTAAGACCAGCTTGCTGAGAATCTCTGCCTGGAGGACTTCCCTTCTATGTGTGTTTACATTTGCTTAGTGTGAGCTTTGCTCTAGACACCGCTGCAGGACATCTTGGTGCTGAGTTCATGCCAGGGGACAGGAGTGCATCAGTGAATGCTCAGAGATGGGATCTTGCAGACAAAGGGGAACTTCCTGTAGCAGGTGTTATCATTCCAGGACCTCAGTGCTGTGAACAGAAGAAGCAGAGAGTCTGGGTGAAGAACCATCGACTGCAGTAAAAGTCACTACATCACTGCTCTGGAGTTAAAGTTCTCTTTCTCCAGCAGGCCTCACTTGCTGATGCTTGCAGAGACAGCTCTCTGATCTTTGTCTCTCATCAAGCTGGGTTTGACTTGCTGCTTGTCTGGGGAGGGTAAACTTCACTCAGAGCCTGCCCCAGCTCTGCTTGCGGGACTGCAGGATGGCCCCCAGGATAAGTCACTTTTTCTTTTAACCTCCTACCACTCCTCGGAAGGAGAAGGAATAGAGAAGAGCAGTGAGATACTTGGATCTGGGATTCTGTGCATGTTTCAAACCTAGCTTCATTTCTTGCCTGCTTTGTGACCTTGAAGAAATTGCTCAGCTTCCTGGAGCCAGATTCACCTTGGGCTCCAGAGTTGATAGAGCCCAGAACGTGCATTCAGACAATGGCTGACACTTTGAGGAACCCATGTCCCACCACTGTGCTCTGCTAGATGTACCTCAATTACCTCAGCAGCCTTTTACATAGGGGTGAATATTAAGCCCATTTCCCAGGAGAGGAAACAGACTCTCAGAGAGGGTGAATTACTTCCTGCGAGGACACAGCTACAAAGCAGCAGGGCTGGAATTTAAACCCAGGTGTGCGCTCTTCAGTGCCCACACCTCCATGCTTCTCCAACCCCAACTGTGTTCTAACATTCACAAGTACCAGCCTGGGATCAGGGCTCGGACTTTGGTTCCCTGGTGAGCTGACCCAGGATCCGAACTCTCAGTGCAAAACCTTTTTGAAAAGGGATATAGGCTGCATGTGCACATCAAAGAACTTAATGAAAGCTCTGCTGCCCACTCCAACTCTCTAATGCCTTTTCATCCATTTAGAGCCGGAATGTCAACAAACCACTAAAGATCACTTAAAGTACTTCTATCCTAGACAGTATCCTATCCCCAGGGAAGCTGGCTGCTCTCCAAGGTGCTGAAAACAGGACGTCCTCTTAAACCTCATTGTGTCCCCATGGTGCCTCTCCATGCTCTTTGATGCCCCCCCATGTCTCATGGTGACCCCATTCTCATTGTATCCCCATCCTTCAAGGTGCTTCCGAATCCCTCATGGTGCCTCTCTAGCAGCTCTGAGAGAGTTCAGGTCCAAGGTACCCACCGCTGCTGGGCCGGTACCACATCTGCACACAGTCTTCTTCTGGGTCTGTATGGATGCCATCACCAGGCTGGCTCCTGTCCCAGTAACTGTAGTCATAAGGAGAGCCATCTGTCCATTCAAACTGCCCTTCCTGGGGTCCATTCAGAGACAAGGAAGTAGAGAGGAAGACCAAATATTGGGTCAGCTCCCATATAGGAACAGCATTATAGTACTTCATGCCTGCCACCTTGCATCAAAGCCCTCACTTGTAATTTGTACTATGGTGGAATATTCCTATACACTGTGTGAAAATATGTCACTATGATTGGTTTAATAAAGAAGCTGACTGGCCAATAGCTGAACAGGATTAAAGTTAGGTGGGAGAGCCAAACTGAGAATGCTGGGAAGGAGAAGGGTGGAGTCTGGAGTCCCAAGCAGACACAGAGAGAAGCAAAATGAGCATGCCATACTGAGAAAAGGTACAAAGTCATGTGGTCAAGTGTAGATAAGAAATATGGGTTAATTTAAATATAAGAGCTAACTAGCAACAAGCCTGAGCTATTGGCCATCATTTATAATTAATATTAAGTCTCCGTGTTGGGAACAGGTGGATGGGAAAGAGACCCCCACCTACATACTGTGGCTGTCAGCACTGCTCTTCCCAGATGCCTTGTTTGACCCTTATCATGTGACCTTTACTTACTTTGTCCTCACTGCTCTGTACTGCAGGTAACTTCATCTTCAGAAAACTGGCACATGGATGAGTTGGCCCAGATTCATTAGTGTTGGTACTCAAACCCTCATGGACCTGACTCCAGTATCCAACACCTAAGCACTGTCCTTTCTCAGCCGGTGAGATTTACTCTTCCTCACTTTCTTTTATCCAAAAGTCTGTGTTTTTCTTTTCTGGTCTGGAACTACGCTGCCCTGCTGGAAATCTGATTGGTGCTGCAGCGGGTGTGTGAGCCAACTGTGGAAAGAATGACACCAGAGGCCATGGGAGTAGGAGTCATGCCTCTTTTTGTCATTTTTCTGGTCTTTAGAAAAGTACCTCTTGAAGCATGGATGATCTGAAGTCCTTTCTGTGCAGTGAAATAGCAGGGAGGGGGCAGGTGGAGCTCAAGGTTCCCTCGCTAGCCGCCTTCCTTGCTCTGTGACCTGGGCACATTACTCAACCTCTCTGAACCTCAGTTTCCCATCAATACAGCAGAGTGAATATCCCAGAGAGGTTTGGGGGTTGAGTGACTTTCAAAGTATGTGAATGGGGACATGGAGCCTGGTGGACAATGCCTGGCCCCAAGAAGAAAAGGAGAAAAGGCCTTTTGTCTTGTTTGTTAGGGTTATTAAGCCTTACACTATACATTCCTTTTCCCCCTTTTTCTTTTTTCTATTTATTTATTTATTTATTTATTTATTTATTTATTTATTTATTTATTTATCCTGAGACAGGGTTTCTCTGTGTAGCCTTGGCTGTCCTGGAACTCACTTTGTAGACCAGGCTGGCCTCATAGAGACCTGTCTGCCTCTGTCTCCCAAGTGCTGGGGTTAAAGGTATGCGCCACTATTGCCCAGCCTATAATGTACCTTCTTTAGATTGTGATTTAATGTAGATCTAAACTAATTTTATTTATTTATTTATATTGGTTAGGATGATTTTAATTTAAAGAACTCCCAAGTCTCTGGGAAATACTCTAGAGTACAGTTAAAACTGAGCAAGTGTTAGTTGTACACTTAGCTGGCACCCAGTGGTTCCTTCAGCAGAAATTTTCACACAATTCCACCCTGCCTTTAGAAGTCCTTACTAAAAGGAGGGCACTGGGACAGAGGTAAGGGACTGGTATGACAGCTAGTCTAATTTTAACACTGCTGCTTTAAATGGCAATATTCATTTTTATTACAGGTTCATTTAGTCATTATTGTTATGGTGCTGAGGATGGAACCCGGGGCCTCTTGTGTGCTCCATCACTGTATCTCAAGTTCTTCCTAACTTTTCTTCTTTATTTGTTTGAGGTTCTAGGGATCGAACCTCGGGCTGAGATAGGAAGTCCAAGTTCAGGGCCTTCCACAGTAAAGAATGAGCGCAGCATGAGCCCGGGCAATCAAAAGACACTTCACCTCAAAAGGAAACAGTAAAGTGAGCTGGGGATGCAGCTCATTGATAGAGTGCTCACTCATCTACTGTGTGCTGAGCCCTGGGTTCAGTGATGCTGAAGCGGGGAAAGACCCTCATATATCTAACCACATTTTTGTTTTAGAGAATCCAAGTCAAAACAAAGGCTTCCTCTGATCATACTATATGTTCTGGTCACACCTACTCCCACAGCTAACAGAGGCAGGTCATTGTCACACCCACTTCCATGGTTAACTGGGGCTAACTGGTGTCCATGTGCTGAATGTGTAACTGTGACCTGGCATTGTTAAAAGAAAGTGGAGCCTTGGCTGGAGTTCCTCCACAGGATCTGACCGCTGTGGCTTCCTCACCTCACCTGCCTGTGGTCATGAAGCCCTGTCCAGATGTCAGCCGGGATGTCAGGAGCACAGCTATTCACCAGGTCATACACAAAGACGTTCTCCTCCCAGCTGTGGATGTAAGAAGCACAGCAGTAGTTACCACCTCCACTTTCCATAGGATGGAATCTAAAGCAAGCTTGTTAAATCTTCTGGACTAAGGAAAAAGAGGACAGGATATAACTCTGCTTTCCTTTTCTGTTCTCTTAAGATTTCAGTGTGTGTGTGTGTGTGTGTGTGTGTGTGTGTGTGTGTGTGTGTCTGAGTATGTGCGCATGGGTATGCATGTGTGTATGGGTATGCACACGTGTGCATTTGTGCGTCAGCCAGAGAGAGTCTTCCTCTATCACTCTCTCTGTCTGAGTGATATTCATCTGAGACAGTCTATCCACGAACTTTTTCTGAAAGCCACAAGAATATGTTATAGAGATTCAGCTGTATATAATAAAGTTATACCTAGAAGGGTCAAGGAATTCTTCTAGAGGAAAGTCAAATATCAAGGAATATTTGATGATATTTGGATTTTAATATATCAACTGTCTTCTGCTATGAATTTCTTGTATGCTCACATACTACTAGGCTTTAACTAGCAAACAGTATAGGCTTCACAGGCCTACTGCTGATCTGAACTAGGTAACACCCCTACAGAGCCTAGGAGACAGGCAGGTATGCAGATGCATAGCTTTGTTTCTTGTGCAAATGGAGCTCAGACCATCCCTTTCCTTCAGGCCTAGTGGCTCTGCAGAGCTATTGACTCAGGACAAAAGGTTTTTTTGCATAACTAGGTGCAGTGTAGGTTGGTGTAGAATTCCTGGTAAGAGCAGAGTCATGTGGCCAGAGAAGGGAGAAAAGGTAGAGTTTTTGGATTAGTAGGGATTGGGGCAGATCAGAAGAAGAGGAAGGAAAGTGGGAGATGAGGGAACAGAAGACAAAGGTGAGATTGAAAGCATAAGAGCTTAGTTAGGGCTATGAGAGGACAGGAAAAGAGAGGAACTGAATGTCAGAACAGAACTGAAGCTGGAGTAGAGGTCCGAGGAGGTGGCCGTGCTTTCCACCTTGTTGAGGAAAGGACTCTCTTGTTTCTGCTTCATTGCTAACTCCAGGGAGCTAAGCTGCAAGCTTCCAGGCAACTCTGCCTCTACCTACCACCTCACACAAGGAGTGATGGATACAGATGTATATCAGGTATCTGCTTCTCCCGCCCCTACCATCCGGGTTCTGAGGATCAAACCACGGTAGTCAGGCTGGCACACCTACCAAGCCATCTTCCCGGCCCACCTATCCCCACTTCACGCGTTTGTTAGGTCAGCTATGCCACCGGATCAAGAGCTCTGATGCCCTGCAGTGTATGGCACAAAACTGGCAATTATAAAGACGATTCTCCCAGCATGCTCTTTGCTACCACTGCTGAGTTATTTGCCCTCTATTTCACCCAGGATAACTTCAATGAGAAATTGTGCTGGGTAAAAGGCAGCTTCCATGACCTGAGCCAGAAACCAGTTGGAGACATCAGTCTCCAGTCCTTTCCCCCAGGGGCACTTGGCTAGGCCACAGAGGCCCGAGCAGTCCACTCACCTGTGAATGGAGGCCAGCTTGGCAGATTTCCTACCCACAGTGAACTGAGAGCAGTGCAGGTCAGCCTCCGCCCAGGTCCTGTTGATGGGGAAGAATCTGTAGCAGTGACCTTTGAACTCTGTCCAGAACAGGGGGCACACCAAGGACATCTGGGGCCCCTCTGACAGGGCTGGGGATAGACAGAAAACAAAGTGGGAGGAAGATTGGTGAGGCTCGTGTTGCCTCTGTGCCTTATTACACATTTTTAAGAGTAAAACACATCCACTATGATTAACACAGTTCTGTGCCTGAAATCAAAAAATACATGCACACCCCGGGGCTACATAGAGAGACCCTGTCTCAAACAAACTAACCAACCAAAAAAAGAGATTTATTTGAATTATTTATGCATTATGTATGTGTGTATGCTGTGTGTGTGCAGGTGCCACATGTGTGACGGTACCTCCTGAGCCAGAAGGGGGCGCTGGCTCCCCAGGTGCTGTAGTGGTTGTGAGCCACCATGGTTGGGTGACGGACAGAACCTGGGTTTTCCCTTAAGTGCTGAGCCTCTTCTGCGGCCCCTGTTGAGATTGTTTTAAATGGCTCTTGAATAGCCCCTAAGTGGCCTCCCTAGAGTTTAATGACTGCCTTATATTTGGATAATTAGGTTTCTTTCTTTCTTTCTTTCTTTCTTTCTTTCTTTCTTTCTTTCTTTCTTTCTTTCTTTCTTTCTTTCTTTCTTTCCTTCCTTCCTTCCTTCCTTCCTTCCTTCCTTCCTTCTTTCCTTCCTTCCTTTCTTTTTAAATAAAAGCCTATTATATATAATACTAAGACAAGTTTCATGCAACAAACTTTGTCAGTGTTTCTGGTGGTTTTCTGAGGAGAGACTTGGATGGCTTTGATACAATTTCTAAATTGCCTCCTGAAAGCAATTTCCCCTCTCACTGTCATGGCTGAGGGGACCTATCTCCCTCTGCCCTTGCTAGTTACAACTGCCATCATTTCCCTGGGAATCTTTGCAAATTTTAGAAGTAAGAAATGGCACCTTGTTTCAATTTGCAATTCTAGGCTATCTGTCAGATGTGTGCATTTACTGACAAGCTAGAACTAAGACTTTATATCTTTTGCCCATCACATTGCTGGGGTCAGGATAGGTTGTTAATTGTGAGAAGCAGCACATTGAAAACAATAACAGGATTATGGTGTTTGAGACGATAAAGTCCTCTCAAGTCTTGGCTTCTCTTGAAACTTCTTGGAGGTGTTGTTCTTGGAAATAGAAGGTGGCTGTTGGGAGAGGCAGATGATTGAGAACCTTTCATTCACTAGGTTGGGAGACCCACACAGTGAGCAGTAGTCCCTGGACACCTACATACTGGCCACCATTGTGTCTGACCTGCTGTGACTCATAGGCACATTCTCTTCTTCCTCAGATGTCCAACTGGCAGACACCTGGAGCTTCTTTTGTAACCACTCAGAGGCATGGAGTCTCTGCCTTCAAATCACTGCCATATCTGACTGACTCTGAGAATACTAGCATAGTGAATAGGGGCTGGGGAGGTGGATCAGTGGGTACAGGACTTGCTGTGTGACCATAAGGACCTGAGTTCAGATCCCCAGCAGCCACAGAAGAAGCTCAACATGGTGATGCATGCCTGTAATCCCAGTGCTGGAGGTTTGGGGGCATGTGTAGAGACAGGCAGATCCTTGGGTCTTGCTCGCCAGCCAGTCTAACTGAATAGGTAAGCTTCAGAGTTAGTGAGGGACCCTGTCTCAAAAAGGACCTGGCATTG